TCACTTCATTAATTCATAAATATTGCCAGCTCGGGCCTTCTGATTGAACACGTTTTAGCCTTCAAGCATGCATGGAGAAGGATGGGGTGGTTGTTCCTGTACAAAGTGATCCTAAATGGCTCATGGACTTGACTTTTCTTGTTGACATTAAACATGAGCTGAATGTACTCAACAAGAAGTTAGAAGACCAGAGGCAGCTTGTCACTGTTGCCCAACGACAATGTTGGGACATTCTGCACAAAACGTGTGTTAGGGTTATTAGAGAAATCTCTGCCATTTCCCAACATGCAATGCACTCATGGATTCGGGAACACCATTCAGTAGTAAGCATACTGATGCCATTGCAAAGCTACTGGAAGAATTTGATCGTATGTTTTTAGACATCAAAACTCACACAACTACTTTTCAACTTTTTGCTGGACCTTTCTCCTGTAATGTGGAAGATGCCCCCTTTCTCGCCCCTCCGCTTAAAAGGGAGCTGATTTTGATCTTCAGTGAAATTTTAAGTTAAGGGAGGTAAATGAAAAAAACCGTCAAGCATGTACAATTTATGAAAGCATGGCCCTCCAACTTCCTTGAGATTTCCAGGTTGTTCAAGCGGATCATGTGCCTTTTTGGGGGGAATTCCTTTCTCTGAGAAACGCTTTTTTTCCACTATGAAATTTCAGAAGTCAAAGTTCAAGTCCAAACTTACTGATGACCATCTTGACCCTTTTCTGTAGGTCTAATTTGCTTCCACACTTAAGCCATCTGTTGATCAGCTGTGTAAGAAGAAGCGCTGCCAGTTCTCTGGCAACAAGGAATAGGGGGAAGCAAGTGAAGCCTAGTTCTTGAGAATACTAATTGTTTTAATTGGTTATTGTTAAAATTTGAGAAGATTGTAACAGTTGTACTTTATTGAATTTGTAATCTCTTTTTTTGTGGAATACTTGATGCGTCCCAGTCTCATCCACACTCTACCTGCTGCGGCCCCCGGATGATTTGAGTTTGAGACCCCCCCCTGCCGTAGAGGATCAACAAATGAACTTTAGAAGTCAGAATTTCTGAAAATTGTATCAACATGAAGTACAAGGATGAGAAAGACAGGCTTTGGGAACATTTTTACAAAGATGAAGCACAACTCTTTCACCACAATGCTTCCACTCTTACGACATTACTTCCACTCTGACCCCATTTCGTCCTCTTTGAACACATTAGTTCCTCTTTTCTTATATCAATACTTCCTCTTTTTACCACGTCACTTCCTTTCTGACCACAGTACTTCCGCTCTGACTGTATTAGTTAGTGTTGCAGTCCAAATGAGTCCATTTTCTCCAGCATTCGGGGTTACATGCTTTGTGATACCACATTTAAATCAAAAGGAAACGAGATCTCCATTGAAACCAAAAAGCTATGACTCTGTTCGAGATTCAAACCCACACTCAGGAACTCGACAATTATTCATACCGCAAAATTATTGGACGAAATTCTTGCCACAGACTAATTTAGGCAACAACAACAACAAAAAAACTCAAACAAGGCTTTTGGAGACTGAAAATAATATGTACGATGAAAGAAAAAAAAATCAAAACAATTTCCTTATTTTTTTGGATCAATAAAATTATCTTATTTTATCTTATTTTCTTTTAATAAAATAATTCAATTTTTAACAATAATTTTTATTTAAATCTGAAGTTTCCTATCTTACATTGATTGTGGGCCTTCAAAATATAGAAGAAGAATTATGCTGTAATGTTATGGAACTGTTAGGTAAAACCTAAGCTTTGTGTCCTTTCACCTTCTAGTCAACATCATCATCAGTATTATTATAATTATTACTATTAATTTTTATTATTATTAGTGTGCCTATTAAGATTATTACTAATATGATTAGTTTGCATGTCTTTATTATGATGATTACTATTATTATTATGATAATTATTTTTATAAATATTAATATCATTAAGATTAGTATTACGAATATTTGTATTATTATTATGAATATCATTATTATGATTATTAGTATCATTATTATTATGATTTTTAACTTAATTAATCTATTTATTTATTTATTTACTTATTTATTTGTATTTATTTTTCTTGCTGGCATCCGTCCGTCACAATGTGACGATAGTGTAGACTTCGCAGGTCGAAAATCCACTAGGACTGGGGATTATTCTTTTCAGGATTATCCGATGGTTCCCTGAATAGCAAATGGCCTCTTTCCACGCCTCTGGATAACCCAAAGGAACATCATGTGTGGCTGATACAGCTTGGCACCAGTGGCGTCGAAGGAGTTGTCGGAATGCTTCATTGTGTCAATGCTATCCGCCTACGGGACGTCATTTCCGAGTTTGAATTCAGAGTTTCCTTCTCTTAGATGGGTTGCCATCCAAGGTTCATGAGTCTCATCCACTCTGGTATTTTGATTTTTATTACTATTATTAGTAATAGTAGAAGAATGTGTAGTATGCAGAAAATTTCAAGGTACGTTTGACTGTATTTGTTTTTAACAATTTAATATGTTACAATGTACAGCATAATGACTATATGATGCCGTTATAACAAAATATTCATTCATGGTGTAATTGGTATAGTATAGTATAGTATAGTATAGTATAGTATAGTATAGTATAGTATAGTATAGTATAGTATAGTATAGTATAGTATAGTATAGTATAGTATAGTATAGTATAGTATAGTATAGTATAGTATAGTATAATATGCTCAAGCAAGCTATTTTTTAAAAAAAAGTAATGAACTTTTTGGTTTGCACTCGTTGAGGTCACTTAGCTTTCGGATTCTACTTCATAGTATTCTTTTGGTCATAATTATCTGAACCTAAATACAACCTTGATCTCATGGAGCCTAACCCAAACACAACCTTAAGCTCATGGAGCCTAACCTTAACACAACCTTGATCTCATGGCGTCTAGCCTAACCATAGAGTCTAGCCTAACCATAGAGTCTAGCCTAACCATAGAGTCTAGCCTAACCATAGAGTCTAGCCTAACCATAGAGTCTAGCCTAACCATAGAGTCTAGCCTAACCATAGAGTCTAGCCTAACCACAACATTCATATGTGATGGAGGCAATAAGTGCCGGGGTGATGTAGTTTTTTTGTTTTTTTTTATTATTGAACTCAGTAGATAGACACTTCAACTAGTAAGGACATACGTGGTCGGGGGGGTTGGGGGGGGTATTCCTGAGTTTTTTTTAATTATTTTTTTTTTAAAATTTTGCTGTTTTTTTTTCGTTGAAATTGAAACCTATTTTGTGAAGTACCACTTTTGTGTTCCCTGTGGAAGACCTCTGATGGACGTGTTGGACGTTACATATATTGTTAACACTAGTGTTACTGGTATTTGTTTTACTTTTTTTTTTTTTTTTTTTTTTTTTTTTTTTTTTTTTTTTTTTTTTTTTTTTTTTTTTTTTTTTTTTTTTTTTTGTTTGGTTGCCGGCTGCTATGATGAGTTTAATGACTTCATCAATACGTGGAGACCGCGTCAAGTGAGTTCGTGGTTCGGTGTGAACATATGTTGTATCGCTCAGGTTCGAACAACAGATCATTCAAAGTACCTTCTTGGTTTCTGACTGTGCCGCAGCGTTCCATTTAATCGGCAACACCCCACTCCAAACCATCCATAAAATAAAAACCATCCCGACACCCTCCACCATCCTAATATCCCCAGCCTACATCACACACAACTCCGACCCCGCACCCCATTCAAACACACCATTCCAATCCAACACCGGAATGGACTTGCCAAAGTGTGACAAGTTCAGTTTGCCAACATGATTTTGTGTTAAAGTCAATATTGTAACTATATTCTTAAAATTACTATTAAAAAATCAAAAGTCGAACAAGGTTCATTGTATTTAATATTAATTATATAAACCAGTAAGCCAAATAAACATATGAATAGCTGTGACATACTTATATAATAGTATTGTTGATCAAAAACTGGTCTATATACCATATAGAACAAGGGTTCCCAAATCCGGACCGCGGGCAAAATGTGGCCCGTACGCACTCAGTGACCCGGTGATATTACACGACATTTATTATTTTAAAGCGTTGTGGCCAGCTTAAATTCCAAAAAAAAAATAGATTCGGCCCTCTACTTGAAAATCTGGGAACCACTGAAATAGAGAATATATATTATATATATACACTCAGTGGCGTAGCTAGATAGGGTTAGTACCAACAGGGGCGCATCAAGATTCCACGTTCAAAAACCAGCTGTTAGTTGGAAATTTCCGCCCCTCCTTATAAAGAAAATGAATCCCGCCTGAGGTTGAAGGCACCGTACGAACGACCCCTTACAATACCAACTGCTGCTAGTTTATAATAAACTTTCATGTCTGCATTTCTGTTGAAAAAAATTTAAAAAATTTAAGGAAAAAAAAAAAAAAAAGGTTCAAAGAGGTACTGCTCATGACGGAAGTGGGTTTAAAACATTATGGAAAACTATTCCGAAGAACTACATTCCAACCGGGAATTTCAAAATGAACTTCATTGCGTGGACCAACTTGGTTCTGTAGATCAGCTGGTAAAGATATAGATACAGAGTTGTTGGACGGGAATGTGCACAGGCAGAGATGAGACTTGACTTACGTAAAAAAAAAAAAAAATGTGTTTGAATGCAAGTTAATCAAATTATCCTTTGGTCACAACACGATTTTAAAAAATAATATTTTTAGTAGTAGCATTTCATAATTTATATAAAGTGTGTCGAATTTTAATTTTTGTTGGCAACAAATGTGTATATTTTGGGGGGAAAGATGTTGCCCCTACCAATGCCAGATCGCCCCAGCATTATAATTATGCACTGGCAGTTGCTTTTAAGGGGCATTTTTATTCATTGCTCACCGCGCTAACGAAAATATCGCCAAAGATCCACCGCGCAAGGAAATTGTGTGAATATCACTGCCGAAAAAACCTTTGGAACTGAAAAGGGCAGCGATGAATTTCAGACTCGGCAATTTTGAGTAAGATACAACCAAATGCAAGTGATGTTCCAGGTGTTTTACGTACAATGCTCGTAAAGATGCTCCGATATGACATTCTGTTCGCGCCCTTGCCTTGCATGGCGGTGATCACGTGACAGTCCCCCCAACGTGTTCCACCTGAGATCTGCTTCTTCAAGCGGACGGTCGTCTGTGGTGGGTTTGCTGCTGTCCCATGTGTTCCAGGTCACCGCCGACGGATGGTCTTCAGCCGCTCCGTGAAACACGTGTCGTCCTATCAGTTTCTGGGGGGTGAAGGCGGGCAGATGGGGCACATCGGCGTGCTCAGGCCTTTCGTTGTTGTTCTCATTGATCAGAGCGATGAACCGCTTCACGCAGGGCGCCGGGGAAGAGGGCGCTTTGGGCATTGTAGCTCGTACCGGTGGCTTGATCGGGGCGCTCGATTTGGCTTTCGGGTTGACGGGCGGCATGGTTGGCGTGGTTGGTCGGGTCGGTCGCGTCAGCGTGGTCTGTCGGGTTGGTGTAGCTGGTCTGGTTGGCGTGGCCGAAACGGCCAGAGCGGCCGCCCAGGGCGGGTTGTCTGCTTCGAAAACGGTGGACGGTTTGTGCAGACTGCTTGGCATCAGCGGGTGGGTTGATGTGGTTGCAGCAGGCGGATGGTCGCGGTTGTTGAAATGAGCTCCAGCCCAATGGCCCTGGCTGACCTTTAAGCCAACCATCTGTCCAGTATTTAAGTCGTTTTCTGGAATAGATGACACAGACATTTCAAATCAACACATTTTGATCGATAATTCCCTAAAAGAAACTGTTACATCCAGAGCAAAAATGTGCATCATCTTCTGATGATTTAAATGCCAAAAATTGTTTCCAGATTTCGATCAAAGTTTTAAGCAATTTAGGGCTCAACAATTGTTTTCAATTAATGTTTTTTTATGTGTAATTATTTTGTACTTTGTTTAATCTGTGTATCAAATTATTTACAATTTTAATCTTAAGAGCTATCTGTCTATTTTCCAAGTTATGTAAAAACCCAGAGATACCTTGATCTTTTCGCGTGATATGATCCCCTGGCCTAACTTTCTCCTGTGTAATTATTAATCTTTGATCTACCTTGGTCATTGGAGTGATATAATCCCTTGACCTACCTTGGTCATTTGGAGTGATATAATCCCCTGAACTACCATGGTCATTTGGAGTGATATAATCTCCAGACCTTCCATGGTCATTTGCAGTGATAGAATCCCCTTATCTACCTTGGTCATTTGGAGTGATATAATCCCCTGACCTAACTTGGTCATTTAAAATTATATAATCCCTTGATCTACCATGGTCATTTGAATTAATATAATCCCCTGGCCTACCTTGGTCATTTGGAGTGATATAATCCCCTGGCCTACCTTGGTCATTTGGAGTGATATAATCCCCTGGCCTACCTTGGTCATTTGGAGTGATATAATCCCCTGGCCTACCTTGGTCATTTGGATTGATATAATCCCCTGACCTACCTTGGTCATTTGGAGTGATATAATCCCCTGACCTATCTTGGTCATTTGGAGTGATATAATCCCCTGACCTACCTTGGTCATTTGGAGTGATATAATCCCCTGACCTATCTTGGTCATTTGGAGTGATATAATCCCCTGACCTACCTTGGTCAATTGGAGTGATATAATCCCCTGACCTATCTTGGTCATTTGGAGTGATATAATCCCCTGACCTACCTTGGTCATTTGGAGTGATATAATCCCCTGACCTATCTTGGTCATTTGGAGTGATATAATCCCCTGACCTACCTTGGTCATTTGGAGTGATATAATCCCCTGACCTATCTTGGTCAATTGGAGTGATATAATCCCCTGACCTATCTTGGTCATTTGGAGTGATATAATCCCCTGACCTATCTTGGTCAATTGGAGTGATATAATCCCCTGACCTACCTTGGTCATTTGGAGTGATATAATCCCCTGGCCTACCTTGGTCATTTGGAGTGATATAATCCCCTGACCTACCTTGGTCATTTGGAGTGATATAATCCCCTGACCTAACTTGGTCATTTAAAATTATATAATCTCTTGATCTACCATGGTCATTTGAATTAATATAATCCCCTGACCTATCTTGGTCATTTGGAGTGATATAATCCCCTGACCTATCTTGGTCATTTGGAGTGATATAATCCCCTGACCTACCTTGGTCATTTGGATTGATATAATCCCCTGACCTATCTTGGTCAATTGGAGTGATATAATCATCTTGCCGGCATTGATCCCCAATCGGAGTGATGTACTCTCCGGGCGCTAGATAATCGTCTTCCAGGACTTTCGGCGTGTCCGCGTGGTCAGCTGTCTTAGGCAGGATGTAGATGTTGTCCTCAACTTGGGACATGACACTGTGGTAAAGGTCACGGCGGCTGGCCTTGACCTGTATCTCCGCCCAGCGCTGATGGCGGTGACACCAAAGGATTCCGCCGACAACAATGAACAGAACGAACATGCTCATAGCCGTCGAGCTGAACACCACGTACTGAAAGAGCAGATTCGATTCTGTGGAACAACAGTTTATCATGTTTTTTTAATAGATTCGAAGCTAGGGAACAATAAATGTCATGTATTTTTAATAGATTCGAAACTAGGACAAAACAACTATCATGTATTTTCATGTTTTTGAAGCTAGGAAAAAACAAATATGTAATTTTAATAGATTCAAAGCTTTGGAACAAAAAATATCATGTTTTTTTTTAGCTTTGAAGCTTGTGAACAATAAATATCATGTATTTTTAATGGATTCGAAACTTTGGATAAAACAAACATCATTTATATTTAATAGATTCGAAGCTAGAGAACATAAATTGTCATGTATTTGCTGTAAATTTGAAGCTATGAAACATTCTATTTTTGTCGTATGTCATTACATATAGAGGGCCTCATTTCGAGTTATCGTATGTCGATATAAGACATTGTTACCCAAACGTTTTCGCCTTAAGATGGAAATGTCTTACAAATGAGGATATGAATCAAGCATGCATAAATGATATTGTTAATGAATACTGTGATGTAGGACGTGTTTACGTCACACTTTCCCCGTGCCGTGAACTCTGGTTGACCCCACATTAGACAGCGTTCGTATTGGGCGTGGTCTATAATTTCCTTTCATCTTAGCCGTTGTTTTCCACAACTATCAACTAAAAATAACCAATATATTCTAATAGAATTTTGTTGAAACTTCGATAATTGACTAGAAAGATAAACAATGTAGAAGACATTTCTAGAAGCGTTGGTTCTACCGACGCATAGATATAAAAAGGGGATTCAGAGATTAATCGCGGATTGATAGAGAGATATTTTTAACTTCTTGAGACAAGTGTATTATTTTTGTGGTACTCATATGCGTTTATTCGCATTCATTTTAATTATTTATTTATTTAGGCATTTTTATATAGCGCTTACTTTAAAGCTCTAAGAGCTTTACAATTATTAAAAATATGTAAACTAAACATCATTGTATCTTATTTGTGTGGCACGTTGTACTAACTGTGTACCAGTGAAAGACATTCCCATTCTCTGCAAGTTGATGATTGTAATTATATTTTTTTTGTTTTGTAATTATATTAATACTTAAATAAATCTTATTAATTGTAATTAGTAATGTTTTAAGTGTCGTATTTTGCTATTGTATTTCTCTATGGTATCGTCCTTTTGTTTGGCACTGTTTAGAACGAACCAATAACTTAAAATAAGAGATTAATTTTACTATAGAAGACAGTGCGTAAAAATACATACAAGGTAGGTTTCAGGCATGCAGACAAGGTCGTGTTGAGGTATTCAAGCAAAGCAGGGTTAAGGCATTCAGACAATATTGTGTTAAGGCGGCATGTAGACAATGTAGGGATTAGGTATACAGACAAGGCAGGGTTTAGGCATGAAGACAATGTAGGATTTAGGCATGTAATAAACAAGATAGGTGCTAGGCATATAGACAAGATCGGGTTTAGGCATGTAGACGTAAGGTTTTTTGCTTGTAGACATGTAGGTTTAGGCGGCATACTGGCAATGTAAAGATAAGGCATGCAGACAAGGTAGGGTTTAGACATGTAGAAAGGTCGGGTTTAGGCAAGTAGACAAGGTAGGGTTTAGGCATATAGAAAGATCCAGTTTAGGCAAGTAGACAAGGTAAGGTTTAGGCATGTAGACACTGTAAGGTTTAGGCACGTAGACAAGATTGAGTTAAGGCATGTCGATAAAGTAGGGTTTAGGCATGCAGAAACCTTGTGCCAACAATGTAATGTAAGCCATGTAGACAAGGTAGGGTTTAGACATGTAGATTGGAAACCCCCACAACTAGTGTGAAAGAAAGAGCCTATAAAGCCTTTGTCCTTTCAGTTTTAGATTACGCATCTTCAGCTTAAGAAGGCTTTATGCCGAAACGTCCTTGTTTTTTTGTCCTGTTCTCTTATGCAAGCCTCCACATACCTCGTTTTGCTATTTCATTCATTTACTAAGCTTGAATACAGTCTTTTAATGTATATTTTCAGTCTGGGACCCATTTACCCAGAAGAGCATTGACAGGTTGGAAGCGGTCCAGCGACGGGCAGCACGCTTTGTCCTGAATCGCTACATAAATACCTCTAGTGTTGACAGCATGCTGGAAACACTAGGCTGGTCACCATTGGAGGAACGACAACAACAATCCAGGCTCTCCATGATGTACAAGATAAATAAAGGGCTGGTCCACGGCTCCAGCATTAAACAGAAACTCTTCCCTCACCCCCATAGACAGCGACGAGGCCATGCTAGACAGTTCCAGGTCCTACAAGCGAGAGGCCAGTATAGGAACTGCTCACTCCTGCCAAAAGACAATCAGGGACTGGGAAAAGCTTTCAAAATAAACTGTTGAAGCAACAACACTTGACACATTTGCGTCTATTGCCTCAGGCCTTCCAACCCCCAGTGCATGATACCCTCGCAAAGAAGCCACGCACCCAATGAAATGTACTCATTAACACCAGGCACAGAAACATTGCAAATTCCCTCAACATCCATGGAGCCAAAATGATAAATAAATTAATCGTGGGCCCTTAATATATACAATAATAAGAAGGTAGGGTTTTGACATGTAGACAAGGTAGGGTTAAGTCATGTAGACAAGGTAGATTTTAGGCATGCAGAAAAGGTAGGGTTTAGGCATGTAGACAAGGTAGGCTTTAGGCATGCAGACAAAGTAGGGTTAAAGCATGCAGACACTGTGTGCCAACGGTGTAATGTAAGGCATGACGGCGCCTAGGTTTTAGGGGTTAAGTTACCTTGAAGAAAATGTTTAGATAATGGATCGGGAGAGTTTGGGGTTACAAATGTTTTGTGGATGTTAGTGGGTCGGGGCGGATACAAGACAAAGTTACCAAGGTAACTAAAACTGGTGTACACAACA